TACATTCGGGTTAATGGATAGGTCACACTCGGGTCAATGGATAGTTCACATTCGGGTCAATGTATAGGTCACATTCAGGTTAATGGATAGGTCACATTCGGGTCAATGGATAGGTCACATTCGGGTCAATGCAAAGATCACATTCAGGTTAATGGATAGGTCACATTCGGGTCAATGCATAGGTTACATTCGGGTTAACGGATAGGTCACATTCGGGTCAATGGATAGGTCACACTCGGGTTCAAAGGTTACATTCGGGTCAATGGATAGGTCACATTCGGGTCAATGGATAGGTCACACTCAGGTCAGTGGATAGGTTCAATCAGGTTAATGGATAGGTCATATTCGGGTAAATGGATAGGTCACATTCGGGTCAATGGATAGGTCACACTGAGGTCAGTGGATAGGTTCAATCAGGTTAATGGATAGGTCATATTCGGGTAAATGGATAGGTCACATTCGGGTCAATGGATAGGTCATGCTCGGGTAAATAGATAGGTCACACTCAGGTCAGTGGATAGGTAAAACTCAGGTCAATGGATAGGTCATACAGATTTAATAGATAGGTACATGTAACACCCATGCTGCTAGATAGGTCAAACTCAGGTCAATGGTTAGGTCATACAGATTTAATAGATAGGTAACACCCATGCTGCTAGATAGGTCAAACTCAGGTCAGTGGATAGGTCATACAGATTTAATAGATAGGTAACACCCATGCTGCTAGATAGGTCACACTCAGGTCAGTGGATAGGTCATACAGATTTAATAGATAGGTACATGTAACACCCATGCTGCTAGATAGGTCAAACTCAGGTCAGTGGATAGGTCATACAGATTTAATAGATAGGTAACACCCATGCTGCTAGATAGGTCAAACTCAGGTCAATGGATAGGTCATACAGATTTAATAGATAGGGAACACCCATGCTGCTAGATAGGTCAAACTCAGGTCAATGGTTAGGTCATACAGATTTAATAGATAGGTAACACCCATGCTGCTAGATAGGTCAAACTCAGGTCAGTGGATTGGTCATACAGATTTAATAGATAGGTAACACCCATGCTGCTAGATAGGTCACACTCAGGTCAGTGGATAGGTCATACAGATTTAATAGATAGGTAACACCCATGCTGCTAGATAGGTCACACTCAGGTCAGTGGATAGGTTACACTCAGGTTAATGGATAGGTCACATTCGCGTCAACGGAAAGGTCACACTCGGGTTCATAGGTTACATTCGGGTCAATGGATAGGTCATACTCGGGTCAATGGATAGGTCATACTCGGGTCAATGGATAGGTCACATTCGGGTCAATGGATATGTTACACTCGGGTTAATGGATAGGTCACACTCGGGTCAGTGGATAGGTAACACTCAGGGCAGTGGATAGGTCACACTCAGGTCAGTGGATAGGTAAAACTCAGGTCAATGGATAGGTCATACAGATTTAATAGATAGGTACATGTAACACCCATGCTGCTAGATAGGTCAAACTCAGGTCAATGGATAAGTCAAATTTAAGTCAATGAATATGTCGCAAGGTTTGGTTTGCTGGTGCTTTATGTCCTATTAACAGCTTAGGTCATTTAAGAACAAGAAAGGTTTTGGTGATGGAGGAAAACCGACGTACCCAGAGAAAAAACATCAACCTGCGGCCAGTGCTTGGCGACAGCCTGACGTAGGCCTCAAAATCATCAACAGCTAGGTCACACTCAGTTCAATGGTGAGGTACCACACTCGGTCAATAGTGGGGTTACACACTCGGGTCAATAGTGAGGTTACACACTCAGTTCAATATACAGGTTACACACTCGGGTCAATAGTAAGGTTACACACTTTGATCATTAGTGAGGTTACACACTCAGGTCAATATACAGGTAACACACTTTGGTCAATAGTGAGGTTACACACTCTGGTCAATAGTGAGGTCAAACACTCTGGTCAATAGGGAGGTTACACACTCTGGTCAATAGTGAGGTTACACACTCTGGTCAATAGTTAGGTTACAACTTCTCGTCAATGGTAAGGTTACATACTCTGGTCAATAGGGAGGTTACACACTCTGGTCAATAGTGAGGTTACACACTCTGGTCAATAGTGAGGTTACACATTCAGGTCAATAGTGAGGTTATAAGCTTTGGTCAATAGGGAGGTTACACGCTCTGGTCAATAGAGAGGTTACACACTCTGGTCAATAGACAGGTTACACACTCTAGTCAATAGTGAGGTTACACACTCTCGTCAATAGTGAGGTTATAAGCTCTGGTCAATAGGGAGGTTACACGCTCTGGTCAATAGTGAGGTTACACACTCTTGTCAATAGTGAGGTTACACACTCTGGTCAATAGGGAGGTTACACGCTCTTGTCAATAGGGAGGTTACACACTCTGGTCAATAGTGAGGTTACACACTCTGGTCAATAGACAGGTTACAAACTCTGGTCAATAGTGAGGTTACACGCTTTGGTCATTAGTGAGGTTATAAATCTGGTCAATAGTGAGGTTGCAACTTATCATCAATAGTGAGGTTACACACTCTGGTCATTAGTGACGTTACACACTCTGGTCAATAGTGAGGTTACATACTCTGGTCAATAATGAGGTTACATGCTTTGGTCAATAGTGAGGTTATAAATCTGGTCAATAGTGAGGTTGCAAATTCTGGTCAATAGGGAGGTTACACACTCTGGTCAATAGTGAGATTACACACTCAGGTCAATAGTGAGGTTACACACTCTTGTAAATAGTGACGGTACACACTCTGGTCAATAGTGAAGTTACATACTCTGGTCAATAGTGAGGTTACACGCTTTGGTCAAGGGTAAGGTTATAAATCTGGTCAATAGTGGGTTACAAACTCTGGTCAATAGGGAGGTTACACGCTTTGGTCAATAATAAGGTTACATACTCTGGTCAATAGGGAGGTTACACACTCTGGTCAATAGTAAGGTTATACAATCTGGTCAACAGTGAGGTCACACACTCTGGTCATTAGACAGGTTACAAACTCTGGTCAATGGTGAGGTTACACACTCTGGTCAATAGACAGGTTACACACTCTGGTCAATAGTGAGGTTATAAACTCTGGTCAATAGTGAGGTTGCAACTTCTCGTCAATAGTGAGGTTACACACTCTGGTCAATAGTGAGGTTATAAACTCTGGTCAATAGTAAGGTTACACACTCTGGTGAATAGGGAGGTTACACACTCTGGTCAATAGACAGGTTACACACTCTGGTCAATAGTGAGGTTACACACTCAGGTCAATAGTGAGGTTACACACTCTGGTCAATAGTGAGGTTACACACTCGGGTCAATAGTAAGGTTACGCACTCAGGTCTATAGGGAGGTTACACACTCTGGTCAATAGTGAGGTTATACAATCGGTCAACAGTGAGGTTACACACTCTGGTCAATAGTGAGGTTACACAATCTGGTCAACATTGAGGTTACACAATAGTCAATAAAAGGTTCTCATTGAAGTTAATAAATAGATCGACTTTCCAACATTTAAGGACGTGCCATGTTTTGATGGTGGTTGAAAACCAATAGGTCACACTCAGTTCACTAAATAAGTCACACTCAGGTTACTAAATAGGTCACCCTTAGGTCAATAGTGAGGTCATACTCAGGTCAATGCATAGGTCACACTCAGGTCAAAAATTAGATCACACTCAGGTCACTAAATAGGCCATACTCAGGCCAATAGATAAGTTATAGTTAGGTCAATAGATAGATCACAAATAGGTCAATGGATAGGTAACATCCGGGTCAATAGATAGGTCACACCCGGGTCAATAGATAGGTCACACTCGGGTCAAAATATATGTCATACTCGGGTTGATATATACCACTCGAGTCGGTTGAAGTCACTCAGATCGATAGATAGGCAATATTAAGGCAGATTGAAAGGTGACATTTAATCGGTCTATGTTAAACTTTTATCTGTAAAGAGGTTATTAACGAGTTAAGAGATTTTATTCAGGGTGTTTTAACCAGGTGGCCGCCATTTGAACTAAACGGCAGCCGTTCTAACTTCGTGACAGCCAATTGAGGCCCAAATTCAAACAACTTCAAATAACTAATTTGCGGGAGAGGTTTTTACGCGTTCATTTGTGAATATAATCGACTTCGAATTCAACTTTGTCATGATTATACATAAGGCATACACAGAAACTATACTTATATACTTATTTTTGTAACGTTTATTTCTTAATAACTTTCAATAAAAATTAGTCGCTGAAAGAAAGAAGTTTGCGAGAAATGTAAATGCATTACAGATAAAATAGTTGATTGTATGTGGTACCGACCTCATATCATACTGTCAAAATGGAACCTATTCAAGGTTGGCGCATACAACACTTTCTCATCGATTTTCTATAACTATATCCTAGCCGGACTTCGGACATAATATTGAATCTGTACGCCTAACGTTTATCAAATAAAACGCTCAAAAACTATATTTAAATCGATACAAAAGTTCTGTAAGTTAGACAGCCCGGCTGATAGATATTGGATTATCCCGGGATACAGAGGAATGAGATCAATAGACGGGCGATTAACAGACTAACCATCCTTTTTATTGGATGTGTGGTTATCTATTGGTTTTATTACACAACTCCAGACACCGAGTATTGATATAGTGTCGTACCTGAGCGTTTTATTACACTGGTTATGAGACAGATATACAGCAAGACTGAGTATAATCCCACATTACAGACAGATACAAAATGTCGTCTGGCGGGACGCCAATCGCTAGCCCCTTCCCTCCACTCTTTAAACAATTACCGAACTTAAGGAAGATTATGTATGTCCTATCACAATCATACTCTCGTTGTTAAGGGCGCGGCCAATCGATTTCAATACCTATTGTAGAATCCGCTACGTACACAAATGGTTCTTTTTTAGGCACATAGGTTCTCCTGTACTAGTTTTTCATACGTATTTGATTTTAATGTCATTTTATTATGTCTAATTATAACTTTACATTTTTACAGGACCCCCCTGGTTGTTCGCTAGAAGGACCCGTAGCAGACTATTTCAATGACAAAGGAACAGGCTATCAGTATTTATCATTAAGAAATAAATTTGGCGCTGGTAAGTTGAATCAAAGTCCCCTATTTTAACATGTTTCCGGTCCCAACCTGTTCCTCTAGAAACAAATGAATCAGAAATAGTCAATGTTGCTGTAATTTTCTGGGTTTGTTTTTGGTTTTTCCAACGCCAAACTATGCTTTCGCATATAAAATAACGTTCCGAAATATACATTGAAATATCAATGGCGAGGAAAAGATTTCTGAATCGCACAGATGTTGAAGCAAATGTTTTCTTTTTTACATTAAGTTAAGAGCACGTCGTTTATATATATTAAATCCGGATACGCTTTCTAAAAACCTTTCGCACCAGAAACAGGGGACAGCCCTACCGACACAAGAGACACGGAACAGCCCTACCCACACTAGACACAGGCAACAGCCCTACCTACACTAGACACAGGAGCAGCCCCACCCACACTTGACACAGGCAACAGCCCTACCTACACTTGACACAGGAGGCATCCCTACCTACACTAAACACTGGAACACTGGGGACATCCCTACCTACACTAAACACTGGAGATATCCCTACCTACACTCAACACTGGGGACATCCCTACCTACACTAAACATTGGGGACATCACAGCCTTACCTACACTTGACACAGGGGACAGCCCTACCCACACTTTACACAGGCAACAGCCCTACCTACACTAGACACAGGGGGCAGCCCTACCCACACTTGACACAGGCAACAGCCCTACCTACACTTGACACAGGGGGCAGCCCTACCCACACTTAACACAGGCGACAGCCCTACCTACACTTGACACAGGGGACATCCCTACCTACACTAAACACTGGAACACTGGGGACATCCCTACCTACACTAAACACTGGGGACAGCCCTACCCACACTAGACACAGGGGGCAGCCCTACCCACACTTGACACAGGCAACAGCCCTACCTACATTTGACACAGGGAACAGCCCTACCCACACTAGACACAGGGGGCAGCCCTACCCACACTAGACACAGGGGGCAGCCCTACCCACACTTTGACACAGGCAACAGCCTTACCTACACTTGACACAGGGGACAGCCCTACCCACACTAGACACAGGGACAGCCCTACCATCACTTGACACAGGCAACAGCCCTACCTACACTTGACACAGGCAACAGCCCTACCTACACTAGACACAGGGGACAGCCCTACCCACACTAGACACAGGCAACAGCCCTACCTACACTTGACACAGGCAACAGCCCTACCTACACTAGACACAGGCAACAGCCCTACCTGCACTAGACACAGGGGGCAGCCCTACCCACACTAGACACAGGCAACAGCCCTACCTACACTTGACACAGGTAACAGCCCTACCTACACTAGACACAGGCAACAGCCCTTCCTACACTAGACACAGGGGACAGCTCTACCCACACTAGATACAGGCAACAGCCCTACCTACACTAGACACAGGGGACATCCCTACCTACACTAAACACTGGGGACATCCCCACCTACACTAAACACTGGGGACATCCCTACCTACCCTAAACACTGGAGACATCCCTACCTACACTAGACACAGGCAACAGCCCTACCTGCACTAGACACAGGGGGCAGCCCTACCCACACTAGACACAGGCAACAGCCCTTCCTACACTCGACACAGGGGACAGCTCTACCCACACTAGATACAGGCATCAGCCCTACCTACACTAGACACAGGGGACATCCCTACCTCCACTAAACACTGGGGACATCCCTACCTACACTAATCACTGGGGACATCCCTACCTACACTAAACACTGTGGACATCCCTACCTACACTAAACACTGGGGACATCCCTCCCTACACTAAACACTGGGGAAATCCCTACCCACACTAGACACTGGGGACATCCCTACCTACACTAAGCACTGGGGATATCCCTACCTACATTAAACACTGGGGGCATCCGTACCTACACTAAACACTGGGGACATCCCTACCAACACTAGACACTGGGGGCATCCCTACCTACACTAAACACTGGGGACATCCCTCCCTACACTAGACACTGGGGACATCCCTACCTACCCTTAACACTGGGGTTATCCCTACCTACATTAAACACTGGGGGCATCCGTACCTACACTAAACACTGGGGACATCCCTACCAACACTAGACACTGGGGGCATCCCTACCTACACTAAACACTGGGGACATCCCTCCCTACACTAGACACTGGGGACATCCCTACCTACACTTAGCACTGGGGATATCCCTACCTACATTAAACACTGGGGGCATCCGTACCTACACTAAACACTGGGGACATCCCTACCAACACTAGACACTGGGGGCATCCCTACCTACACTAAACACTGGGGACATCCCTCCCTACACTAGACACTGGGGACATCCCTACCTACACTTAACGCTGGGGATATCCCTACCTACATTAAACACTGGGGGCATCCGTACCTACACTAAACACTGGGGACATCCCTACCTACACTTAACACTTGGGATATCCCTACCTACATTAAACACTGGGGGCATCCGTACCTACACTAAACACTGGGGACATCCCTACCTACCCTAAACACTGGAGACATCCCTACCTACACTAGACACTGGGGACATCCCTACCTATACTTAACACTTGGGATATCCATACCTACATTAAACACTGGGGGCATCCGTACCTACACTAAACACTGGGGACATCCCTACCAACACTAGACACTGGGGGCATCCCTACCTACACTAAACACTGGGGACATCCCTCCCTACACTAAACACTGGGGAAATCCCTACCCACACTAGACACTGGGGACATCCCTACCTACACTTTACACTGGGGATATCCCTACCTACATTAAACACTGGGGGCATCCGTACCTACACTAAACACTGGGGACATCCCTACCAACACTAGACACTGGGGGCATCCCTACCTACACTAAACACTGGGGACATCCCCACCTACACTAAACACTGGGGACATCCCTACCTACACTAGACACTGGGGACATCCCTACCTACACTAAACACTGGAGATATCCCTACCTACACTCAACACTGGGGACATCCCTACCTACACTAAACACTGGGGACATCCCTCCCTACACTAAACACTGGGGACCTCCCTACCCACACTAGACACTGGGGACATCCCTGCCTACACTTAACACTGGGGATATCCCTACCTACACTAAACACTGAGGACATCCCTACCTACACTAAACACTGGAGACATCCCTACCTACACTAGACACAGGCAACAGCCCTACCTACACTTGACACAGGAGGCATCCCTACCTACACTAACCACTGGGGACATCCCTACCTACACTAACCACTGGGGAAATCCCTACCTACACTAACCACTGGGGACATCCCTACCTACTCTAACCACTGGGGACATCCCTACCTACACTAACCACTGGAGACATCCCTACCTACACTAACCACTGCGGATATCCCTACCTACACTTAACACTGGAGATATCCCTACCTACACTTAAGGGGACAGCCCTACCTACACTAAACACTGGGGACATCCCTACCTCCTCTAAACACTGGGGACATCCCTACCTACACTAAACACTAGGGACATCCCTACCTACACTAGACACTGGGGACATCCCTACCTACACTTAACACTGGAGACATCCCTACCTACACTAACCACTGTGGATATCCCTACCTACACTTAACACTGGAGATATCCCTACCTACACTTAACACTGGAGACATCCCTACCTACACTTAACACTGGAGACATCCCTACCTACACTTAACACTGGAGACATTCCTACCTACACTTATTACTGGAGACATCCCTACCTACACTAAACACTGGGGACATCCCTACCCACACTAGACACTGGGGACATCCCTACCTACACTTAACACTGGGGACATTCCTACCTACACTAATTACTGGAGACATCCCTACCTACACTAAACACTGGGGACATCCCTCCCTACACTAAACACTGGGGACATCCCTACCTACTCTAAACACAGGGGACATCCCTACTTACACTTAACACTGGGGACATTCCTACCTACACTAATTACTGGAGACATCCCTACCTACACTAAACACTGGGGGCATCCCTACCTACACTAAACACTGGGGACATCCCTCCCTACACTAAACACTGGGGACATCCCTACCTACACTAACCCCTGGGGACATCCCTACCTACACTAAACACTGTGGACATCCCTTCCTACACTAAACACAGGGGACATCCCTACTTACACTTAACACTGGGGACATTCCTACCTACACTAATTACTGGAGACATCCCTACCTACACTAAACACTGGAGACATCCCTACCTACACTAGACACTGGGGACATCCCTACCTACACTAACCACTGCGGATATCCCTACCTACACTTAACACTGGAGATATCCCTACCTACACTTAAGGGGACATCCCTACCTACACTAAACACTGGGGACATCCCTACCCACACTAGACACTGGGGACATCCCTACCTACACTTAACACTGGAGACATCCCTACCTACACTTAACACTGGAGACATTCCTACCTACACTTATTACTGGAGACATCCCTACCTACACTAAACACTGGAGACATCCCTACCTACCCTAGACACAGGCAACAGCCCTACCTACACTTGACACAGGGGGCAGCCCTACCCACACTTAACACAGGCGACAGCCCTACCTCCATTTGACACAGGAGACAGCTCTACCTACACTAAACACTGGGGACATCCCTACCTACACTAGACACTGGGGTCATCCCTACCTACACTAGACACTGGGGACATCCCTCCCTACACTACCCACTGGGGATATCCCTACCTACACTTAACACTGGAGATATCCCTACCTACACTTAACACTGGAGACATCCCTACCTACACTACACACTGGGGACATCCCTACCTACACTAAACACTGTGGACATCCCTTCCTACACTAAACACAGGGGACATCCCTACTTACACTTAACACTGGGGACATTCCTACCTACACTAATTACTGGAGACATCCCTACCTACACTAAACACTGGAGACATCCCTACCTACCCTAGACACAGGCAACAGCCCTACCTACACTTGACACAGGAGGCATCCCTACCTACACTAACCACTGGGGACATCCCTACCTACACTTAACACTGGAGATATCCCTACCTACACTTAACACTGGAGACATCCTTACCTACACTAAACACTGGGGACATCCCTACCTACTCTAAACACAGGGGACATCCCTACTTACACTTAACACTGGAGACATCCCTACCTACACTTAACACTGGAGACATCCCTACCTACACTAAACACTGTGGACATCCCTTCCTACACTAAACACAGGGGACATCCCTACTTACACTTAACACTGGGGACATTCCTACCTACACTAATTACTGGAGACATCCCTACCTACACTAAACACTGGGGACATCCCTACCTACACTAAACACAGGGGACATCCCTACCTACACTTAACACTTGAGATATCCCTACCTACACTTAACACTGGAGACATCCCTACCTACCCTAAACACTGGAGACATCCCTACCTTCACTAAACACTGGGCACAGCCCTACCTACACTAAAAACTGGGGGGATCCCCACCTACAGAAGTCATTATGGACAGCACATTTTTACTGGAGACATCCCTACCTCCACTACCCACTGGGGATATCCCTACCTACATTAAACACTGGGGGCATCCGTACCTACACTAAACACTGGAGACAGCCCTACCTACACTAACACTGGGGGCATCCCTACCCACAGAAGTCATTATGGACAGCACATTTTTACTGGAGACATCCCTACCTACACTAAACACTGGGGACAGCCCTACCTACACTAAACACTGGGGGCATCCCTACCTACAGTAGTCATTATGGACAGCACATTTACATGTATTACGTTCTGTTTTCAATTTTCCTCTAAACAATTACTTGATACTTTTTAATATGACTTCTGTAAAGTAGTTTTGAAATATCAGACCGTCATTTTTGCAAATGTATGTCTTACTGTGTTTGATTGTGTTTTTAGGACATTCACGAGAGTTAGTAGACGGACATTCCCAGTTTATGAAAGGCATTGAGCCCGTGAACGGTTACAACGGGCCGTTCGGATATCGTCGGAACACACCCTGGCTTAGGGCCGAGCCATCGCCATTCGGAACAGCCAGTCGGTCGGCTACTCATTGATAAAACTACTATAAATTGCTATCCTATGAAAATTGTTATATTGATTTCCTGCTCAACACTGGCCAATGGACTTCCGCGTTACATGAAAAGTACTGACTGTGATAGACATTGATTGATTACTTTTGATTGATCCCGATGTGATATTTTAAAATCAATATTATCCTGATAGTTCTGCACTTTTTCGATAAAGTTATACAATGAACATGATGATGAAATATTTGCACTGTAAGTTTTTGTTCATTATTTTGTTGTTGACAGATTTCGTTTCTGTAAGCCAGATCATATACCCCACCTTCCCTAATGATGTTCTCACCATTATGATGCAGGTCCTACTTAAGGTTTCCATGTGTTTTACATAAGAACAATGCGTTTTAGAATGAAGCAATATCTTACTGTGATTTCCGTAAGTAACTTTATTTTCGTGATAAACATGTTTTCGCGTTAATTGTAAAGAAGCTGAAATATAAATTTGAAATCTTTCGCGACTGATATTACTTCCGAATATAAACACTATCCCTATTAAAATACCATTCTGTCAATAACGATCTTTAAGTATTCGTGAATAAAACCAACACGAATTCATGTAAATCGCGAAATAAAGTACACGCGAAAATAAACGGATTTACAATAATGTGCATTTTACTTGCATTATCGGAGATGGAAGTTTTAAATGTTGAAAAGGAAGATTATATCTATGTCGTTTAAACATAATTCGGTGACGTAAGAAAAGTTACATGGACACGTAAGATAGAACACTGCACAGCTTACCTTTAAGATGAACCAAAGTCTTAACCTGAATCTGGACGTAACGAATACTTTGTAATGATACTTACCGGAGTATAAGGTGCCTGGACACAGCAGTTGTCTATTTGTCATATGTTCTCTGAGTCAGATAACAGAGGTGAATCGCTGTGTCGGATTAAAGACGTGTAAGGGGTTATACAACTAAGGGATTCCAGTAGCTATTTGTGTGTCTTAGCCGAAAATAAGTGAATACTACCGATAGAATTAAAACAAATGTCTCAGCTTATATTTATACTACTATACAGGACTGTATGTTGAAGATTTGTTTATGTATTAACATAATACTTTTGTATTCAAAATGAAATTTAGTCTTGTTTAAAAATAAGCATTCAAGAAATATACATATAATTATTAATTTTTGTTCAAAATGAATTGCATGTACGTTCGTCACATTTCAGGAAATAATAACCGAAACACGCATTACATACTATTAACCTGGTCAATCAAACGCTTGGACCTCAGTTTTATATAGCATTGTCTGTTTTTTTTTATATCAAATTTATTATCTAAGTCACATGCATACAGCTGAAATTCAGTTAATCGTAGATTTCTATTTTTCCAATTTTTTATACGTATGTATTTATCCGAAATAATGTCTGAGGTTCACGTGACAATGTCCGGTACAGCGAGGTTTTCACGACAATGTCTGGTAAAGCGAGGTGCCCATGGACATGTCTGGTGAAGAGAGATTTCCGTGACAGTGTGCGGTAAAGAGAGGTTATCACGACAATTTCCGGTATAGCGAGATTCTCACGACAATGTCCGGTATAGCGAGGTGCCCATGAAAATGTCTGGTGAAGAGAGATTCCCGTGATAGTGTGCGGTAAAGACAGGTTATCACGACAATGTCCCGTATAGCGAGGTTTCCGTGGTCATATCCGGTGTAAAGAGGTAGCCATTATCGGTATAGCGATGTTTCCATGACAATGTCTGGTATAGCGGGGTTCCCATGACAATGTACGGTATAGCGAGATTTCCTTGGTTATATAAGTCACAGTGTTTGGTTTGTGAGGTATACTTGTGATATCCAGTATAGCGAGACCCGTTGCTGTCGTCCGTACTGGGATGTTCCTTGGTAATGTGAATTTTGTGTAGACGTGAGCCGATTTTATTGTAGACGAGCTAGATATATAAATGTATAACAACTGTTCCTTAAATCAAGTATTATATACGTTTCCATATTTTGTAATGTTGTATATTTCCTCTCGTCATATTTTCCCTGACATTAAAATTTCAAAAGTTAAATCGAATTTGTTGCCATTAACTTTTTTGTATAAATGCATTAGTATTCGAAGGGAGATAACTCGAGATTTGATGGCTTTTATACATTTTACCTGTGATTGGTGTAAGAGTTATTTCCCTTATTTTTTTATTGGCAGCCTTATCGAAAAAATATAGATTCTATGGTAGAAGGGTTTTACTGCAGGCGACAGGCTAGTCAGGCAAACCTACAGTTGTGTGTGTTGTTTCTGACGTAGTATAGAGAAGACAAATAGAAGCGTGTTATCCCTAATAGAACAACAACAGATGCTACCCCGTTTGCGATGTTTATCCCTATCCATATATAGCGACAAATGGCTACTACCCTTGGGTCTACTCAAATGACATTTTATGATTTCACCACATTGAAATATTGTCAGCTTCAAAACAAATAAATTAGTTAGGTACACAGTAATCTGAAAATTTCAAGTTCTGTCAAGAAAAAAGTATCTGCTAGAAAGTTTGTATCTATTGTGTATCCCTAATACGGATCACGAGAAAGCACCATCTATATAACACGGTAGTCAGTATAAATAACACGATAGTCAGTATATATAACACGGAAGTTAGTATAAATAACACGGTAGTCAGTATAAATAACACGGTAGTCAATATATATAACACTGTAGTCAGTTTATATAAATAACACTGTAGTCAGTATTTTTAACACGCTAGTCAGTATATATAACACTGTAGTCAGTTTATATAACACTGTTGTCAGTATAAATAACACGGTAGTCAGTATATATAACACGGTAGTCGGTATATCTAACACGGTAGATAGTATATATAACACAGTAGTCAGTTTATATAACACAGTAGCCAGTATATATAACACGGTAGTCAGTACATATAACACAGTAGTCAGTATATATAACATGGTAGCCAGTATATATAACACTGTAGTCAGATTATATAACACTGTAGTCAGTATAAATAACACAGTAGTCAGTATATATAACATGGTAGCCAGTATATATAACACTGTAGTCAGTTTATATAACACTGTAGTCAGTATAAATAACACGGTAGTCAGTATATATAACACGGAAGTCAGTTTATAAAACACTGTTATCAGTACATATAACACGGTAGTCAGTTTATATAACACTGTCGTCAGTATAAATAACACGGTCGTCAGTTTATATCACATAGTAGTCAGTATATATAACACAGTAGTCAGTATATATACACAGCAGTCGGTAAATATAACACGGTAGTCAGTATATATAACACGGTTTTCTGTATATATAACACGGTAGTCAGTTTATATAACACGGTAGTTAGTATAAATAACACGGTAGTCAGTATATATCACACGGTAGTTAGTATAAATAACACGGTAGTCAGAATATATATAAAGGTAGTCAGTATATAACACGGTAGTTAGTATAAATAACGCAGTAGTCAGTATATATAACAAGGTTGTCAGTATATATAACAGAGTAGTCAGTATATATAACACGGTAGTTAGTATATATAACACGGTAGTCAGTATATAAAACACATTAGTCAGTATATATAACACGGTAGTCAGTATACATAACACAGTAGTCAGTATATATAAAACGATAGTAAGTATATATATAACAAGGTTGTCAGTAGATATAACAGATTTGTCAGTATATATAACACGGTAGTTAGTATATAAAACACATTAGTCAGTATATATAACACGGTAGTCATTATATATAACACAGTAGTAAGTATATATAAAAAGATAATAAGTATATATATAAAACTGTAGTCAGTTTATATACCACGGTACCAATTATATATAACAGGATAGTCAGTATATATAACATGGTAACCAGTATATATAACACGTTGGTCAGTATATATAACACAATAGCCAGTATATATAACACGGTAGCCAGTATATATAACACGTTGGTCAGTATATATAACACGGTAGTCAGTATATATAACACGGTAGTCAGTATATATAATACGGTAGTCAGTTTATATATAAAGGTAGTCAGTATATATAACATAGCAGTCAGTATATATAACACTGTAGTTAATATATATAACACTGTAGCCAGTGCATATAACACGGTAGTAAGTATATATAACACGGTAGTCAGTATATATATATAAAGGTAGTCAGTATATATATATAAAGGTAGTCAGTATATATAACAAAACAGTCAGTATATATAACACTGTAGTTAATAAATATAACACAGGAGCCAGTATATATAACATGGTAGTTAATATATATAACACGGTAGTCAGTATATATATAAAGGTAGTCAGTATATATAACATAACAGTCAGTATATATCACACTGTAGTTAGTATATATAACACAGTACCCAGTATATATAAGACGGTAGTTAATATATATAACACAGTAGTCAGTATATATAACACGGTAGTCAGTATATATAACATAGCAATCAGTATATATAACACTGTAGTTGATATATATATATAACACAGTAGCCAGTATATATAACATTGTAGCCAGTATATATAATACCGTAGTCAGTATGTATGAAACGGTAGTCAGTATATATAATATGGTAGTCAGTATATATCACACGGTAGTCAGTATATATAATACCGTAGTCAGTATGTATGACACGGTAGTCAGTATATATAATACGGTAGTCAGTATATATCACACGGTATATAACACGGTAGGCAGTATATATAGCAAGGTAATCAGAATATATAACACGGTAATTAGTATATATAACACGGTAGCCAGTATATATAACACGGTAGTCATTAAGGAAGGCACGGTAGTCAGTATATATAACACGGTAGTCAGTATATATAACACGGTAGCAAATATATATAAAACTACAGTCAGTTTACATTACTCTGCAGGCAGTATATATAACACGGTAGCAAGTATATATAACACGGTAGTCATTATGTATGACATGGTAGTCAGTTTATTTATAAAGGTAGTTAGTATATATAACATAGCAGTCAGTATATATAACACTGTAGTTAATATATATAACACAGTAGCCAGTATATACAACACGGTAGTTAATATATATAACACAGTAGTCAGTATATATAACACGGTAGTCAGTATATATAACATAGCAATCAGTATATATAACACTGTAGTTGATATATATATAACACAGTAGCCAGTGTAACGCGGGACGAGTGTCGGTAGAGATAATTAGAAATGAACAAAACAAACTAGTAAGTTACACAAATACAAACAATTTATTTACAATTAACACAAGCTCATTTCACTAAACATTTCTATCATCTCTCCAGCATCCACTCATTCAAATACATACATTTACATATTTTCACACATTGATTTCCATACAAAAGTTCACAGTTCCAAATAAGCCGGCTAATTCCATGGTACCAGTCAATGTTCCTTGTTTCAATAATATGACAGTTCCTGTGCTGTCTGCTCCTGTCTACTGTATGACACAATTGACCAATAGTCCCATCCTGGGTGACAACAGTCTCCGTATGTTTGACACCGCTGACCAACCGTAGCCTTTACTGACGGTGGAAATATAGGATGCGCGCTATGCGCTTCTCTCGAACCCTATAGTGTCCACTAAGAGTTCCCTATCTGTACAGCTCTGGCTGACCCCTTCAGTGACAATGACTTGCCCGCTGTGGATGACCTGTGCCTGACCTTGACCCTTTGCATGGGACGGTCCTGATGCCCCGTTCGCATGTATCCACTGCAATGTCAAGATGTGGTCGTAATCCTCCTCAGGAAAGCTTAAACAATACCCAAAACAGCCATTACAATCTTGCATACTTCACCATTCAAGCAATTGATTCCTCACAAAATATCAACATGACAATTATATAATGACACAATCATATTCGACAATCTTAACACTGACGTGAGACTCTATGATATCTAGTAATGTAAACAGTTAAGTGATATACTATAATAACTATTATAACAATTAAACCTAATTCCGGTCCGGCGATACATAGTACCAAGTACACAGTCGAGTATGGCACCACGCGGCTTCCATACTTTTTACACTCTATCGAGACCTCACCTATACATAACGGTTTATCACTATTCCAATACATATCATCAACATTACAACACTATTACATTCGTACATAACTATGCATCGAGATATACATACTTATAAACCCATAAAGTATCTCTAAAAACATATTCATACAATTTAGCCTACATGCACGTGCTGTACTGTGGTAATCGCTCACTACCCAAGCGTCACGCATGACCGGACCGCACTATCCTATACGGCTCAATAGACGTTAACCGGACAATATTAGGACATAAAGATGGAAAAATAGAGTTACATAAAGCTTAATACTAATATTACTTACCACAGTCTGTAACCTGTGCCTGTAACTACTGAGGTAGGCCGCTGTGAGTACTAAAACCCACGACAGGTGGCTATGGCGCGTCCACACATGTTTACCTGTGTCCTGAGCTCGTGCACTTCCGCTCCCTACCTATTTACTTACCGTAACATCCGTCAACTGACCACGTGATTCGTAATAACAATAACACTGGACATTCACAAATATATATATCTACATACGATCAACATAAACACCACGAGACAATACATACGATCGTGACAGCCAGTATATATAACACGGTAGTAAGTATATATAACACTGTAGTCAGTATAAATACCACGGTAGTCAGTATATATAACACGGAAGTCAGTATAAATACCATGGTAGTCAGTATATATAAAACGGTAACCGTAATATATAACAGAATAGTATGTACATGTATGTATGACACGTTAGTCAGTATATATAACATTGTAGCCAGTATATATAATACCGTAGACAGTATGTATGAAACGGTAGTCAGTATATATACTACGGTAGTCAGTATATATAATACCGTAGTCAGTATGTATGACACGGTAGTCAGTATATATAATACGGTAGTCAGTATATATAAAACGGTAGCCAGTATATATAATAGCGTAGTCAGTATGTATGACACGGTAGTCAGTATATATAACACGGTAGTCAGTATATATAA